TTTTGGGGCAGAATTTGGGATGTTTTGGGGCAGAATTTGGGATGTTTTGGGGCAGAATTTGGGATGTTTTGGGGCACAATTTGGGATGTTTTTGGGCAGAATTTGGGATGTTTTTGGGCAGAATTTGGGATGTTTTTGGGCAGGATTTGGGATGGTATTCGGGATGTTTTTGGGGCAGAATTTGGGATGTTTTTGGACAGAATTTGGGATGTTTTGGGGCAGAATTTGGGATGTTTTTGGGGCAGAATACGGGATATTTTTGGGATGTTTTATGGCACAATTTGGGATGTTTTTGGGGCAGAATTCAGGATGTTTTAGGGGCCGAATTTGGGATGTTTTTGGACAGAATTTGGGCTGGTTTTGGGCAGAATTTGGGATGTTTTTGGGCAGAATTTGGGACAGAATTTGGGATGTTTTTGGGGCAGAATTCAGGATGTTTTTGGGGTGTTTTTGGGGCAGAATTCGGGATGTTTTTGGGCAGAATTTGGGATGTTTTTGGGGCAGAATTCAGGATGTTTTTGGGGTGTTTTTGGGGCAGAATTCGGGATGTTTTTGGGCAGAATTCGGGATGTTTTTGGGCAGAATTTGGGACAGAATTTGGGATGTTTTTGGGCAGAATTCGGGATGTTTTTGGGCAGAATTCGGGATGTTTTTGGGCAGAATTCGGGATGTTTTTGGGCAGAATTTGGGACAGAATTTGGGATGTTTTTGGGCAGAATTCGGGGTGTCTGGCGAGCGCTGCCCCACCTTGCCCGTTGCGTCCCTCCTGGGAGCGCAGGCGGATCCAGTGGTCCGAGATGTTGAGGATGACCAGGGGGTGCAGGGCCACGGACACGCTGCCGGTCACTCCCCCGGCCATCACCTGGGGCACCCCTGGAAAGCAAAATTTGGGGAATTCTGGGGGATTTTGGGAATTCCGGGAGGTTTGGGGGGAATTCTGAGGGGTTTGGGGGGAATCCTGAGGGGTTTGGAGGAATCCTGAGGGGTTTGGGGGAATCCTGAGGGGTTTGGGGGGAATTCTGAGGGGTCTGGGGGGAATTCTGAGGGGTCTGAGGGGAATTCTGGAGGTTTGGGGGGAATTCTGAGGGGTCTGAGGGGAATTCTGAGGGGTCTGGGGGGAATCCTGAGGGGTCTGGGGGGAATTCTGAGGGGTCTGGGGGGAATTCTGAGGGGTTTGGGGGGAATCCTGAGGGGTCTGGGGGGAATTCTGAAGGTCTGAGGCCATTCCCGGTAATTTTGGGGCCATTCCCGGTGCCGTTCCTGAGGTTTGGGGGCAATTTTGGGCATTTTGGGCCCATTCCTGCTGTTTTGGGGCCATTCCCGGTAATTCTGAAGCTCCCCCTGAATTTTTTCCCCTCATGATTTGCCCCATCCCGGTGCCGTTCCCGTTATTCCTGGGGCCATTCCCGTTATTCCTTCCCCATTCCCGGTATTTCCCCCGTTATTCCCGGTAATTTTGAGGCCATTCCCGGTGATTTCGGGGATCCCCCTGAGATTTTTCCCCTCACGATTTGCCGGTGCCGTTCCCGTTATTCCCGGTATCGTTCCCGGTGAACCCCCGGCGCTCCTGGTGCCATTCCCCGTTACCTGCCCCATCCACCTCCATGCCCCCGTTACTCCCGGTAATTTTGAGGCCATTCCCGGTGATTTCGAGGCTCCCCCTGAGATTTTTCCCCTCACGATTTGCCCCATCCCGCTGCCGCTCCCATTATCCCCGGTGCCGCTCCCGCCGTTACCTGCCCCATCCATCTCCATGCCCCCGTTACTCCCGGTGATTTTGAGGCCATTCCCGGTGATTTCGAGGCTCCCCCTGAGATTTTTCCCCTCACGATTTGCCCCATCCCGCTGCCGTTCCCGTTATTCCCGGTAAGCCCTCCTGCCGCTCCCGGTGTCCCCCCCCGTTACCTGCCCCATCCACCTCCATGCCGCCGTTGTTCCCGGCGCTCCCGGTGCCGTTCCCGGCGCTCCCGGGGCCCCCCCCGGTCCCCGCTCCTCCCCCGCAGGAGCCGCCGCCTCCCGGCGCCGCCGCCGCCATCTTAGGGCCCTCAAGGCGCATGCGTGAGGAGCCTTGAGGCGGGGCTTGGTGATAACTCATTATGATTGGACAATGCTTAGGCAGGGCGGGGCTTTCTGGAGGAGAGGCTCCGATGCAAAATTTTGATTGGGCGATGCTCTAAGAGGCGGGGCTTAAAAAGGGCGGGATGTGAGGGCAGAGTTTTGATTGGTCAATGCTTTGGGCGTGTCCCGTATGAAAGTGGGTGTGTCCCCTCCAAAAAAGGGGTGTGTCCCTCCATAAAAGGGGTGTGTCCCCCCAAAAAAGGGGGTGTATCCCCAAAAAAAAGGGGGTGTCCCCCCAAAAAAGGGGGCGCCCCATTAAAAGGCACCACCGGGATTCGAACCTGTAATCTCCCGTTTGCTTTAACCAACCAAATAAACCCCCAAAATCCGGGGGTTTTCCCCCAAAAATCCGAGGTTTTTCCCCAAAATTCGTGGTTTCCCCCCTCCCAAACTGAGTGTCCCTCGTTAAACGGGGTTGTCCTCTCCAAAAAAGGGGTGCGGGGTAAAAGGCACAGCCGGGATTCGAACCCAGAATCTCCTGTTACTAGGTAGGGGCTTTAAGGAAATAAACCCCTAAATCCGCGGGTTTTTCCTCAAAACTCGGGGTTTTTCCTCTCAAAACGAAGCGTCCCGCATTAAATACGGTGTGTCCCCCCTAAAGTGGGGGTGTCGCCCCCAAAATAAGGGGTACCCCGATAAAAGGCACCACCGGGATTCGAACCTGCGATCTCCCGTTCACTTTAACCAGCCGCTGTAACCCACTAAACCCCTAAAACTCCAGGTTTTTTAGTCCGAAATCGTGGGGTTTTCGCCCAAATCCGGGTTTTTCCCCCCAAATAGAGAGCCCCCCGTTAAATGCGGGGGTGACCCCGTTAAAAAAAAGGGGTGCCGGGGGTAAAAGGCACCGCTGGGATTCGAACCCAGGATCTCCTGTTTACTAGACAGGCGCTTTAACCAACTAAGCCACGGCGCCGCCTGCCCCGCTCGCGCCGCCGGCTCCTTCCCGCGCCTGCAGCGCGCATGCGCGGGGGGGCGACGGCGCGGGGGGATTTTGGGGGGATTTTTGAGG